GCTTTGTCTTCAACTAATCAGGGAGGCCCACATTTTATGCCGAGAAAGTATATTTGTGGGGAAATTGCAACTCGAGCATCATTTTGTTTTCTCAGTATACAACAAAGTTAGCAATATTTCTTTTACTGATGAGCTGTGACATTTTATGCTCAATAAAGCTTGCGAAACGCTCGTATGCCATTCTGACCGGCCAGTCTTGGAAACTGTGTGTCAAAATGGAGGATTCTGCTTTGTTTTCCCCCGTTTCCCGCTTCTAGAGCAAGTGTGGCCAGAGGATTCGGATCAGGCGCGTCCTCATGAACTCCCCGGAGATCGTCACCATCGGCTTCGTGTGGGATTCGGATCAGTCGGACCTCACCGAGGACGTGATCCGCTCACTCGGGCCTCACCTCAGCCTGTCAGCGGTGAGCGCCGACGCCACCGCACACGCCGCGGTGCCGACACCCGCGAGGGGCTCGTGTCTATTGTCAGCTGCGGCCGTTGCGTAAGCAGTCAGCGCCCCCGCCGGGGTCTCCCCGCCTGCCCCACTGATCAAAAACGCCCCCACTTGTTGGTGTCAACAAGTTCAAATCCCCTCCCCACCAGCGGAGCTTGAAAGCCATTGGCGAATAGTGCAGCGCTGCTGGAAATCAAACCGGGGGTGGGCTCCTCACACGTTACATAACTTCCGCACTGAAGTGTTCAGTGTGTTTGTTGGACGGCCCTCCCTCTCACATGTTTCTCAATCTCTCACCACAAAAGCCTCAATTCATTTGGGAGTGTTTAATGTGGTGTTATTGGGTGTCAGAAGGCAGACCCACCACCGCCGCCCCAATTGTTTGCAATCTATTGTTCGCGAGGGTGAGAACTGGCAGAGCAGGAAGCGCATGAGGGCCAGACAAAACGTATTTCTTGCGATTCTGGTGCTCTTCCTTTCCGTATATTTGTCTTTTAGTGTTTTAGGCAAATGTCCCCAACGCAATATTTTGATGGGCCAGCATAGAAACCAATGAACACAAATAATTCAATGTAACGAAACAAAAATTACGCGGAGCGGGCTTGGCGCGCGAGAATGACCCGTTGTGATAAATCCGTATTCTAAGCGGGACAGTCTCTTGAATGTAGTTTTCTTTTTCTTCTTCTGGCTGGGGGCTCGGGAACCTTTTTGACTAAGAGAGCCATGAAAGCAAAATATTTGGAAAAGTGAATTCAACAAAATGTCAGTGGAATAAGCCTCTGAATGTATCTTTTTTTAAATAATGTTGTTATAATACTCACCGAACAAAATGTCAGTATAATAAGCCTCTGAATGTATCTTTTTTTTTTAAATAATGTTGTCATAATACTCACCATTAATGTGAATGGTTTTCCATTCCTCACGATTGCTCAAGATGCAGCAAAGATAGCCGAATTGTCGTCATCTTGCCGGGTCCATACATGGAGTTGCTGCATGCTAGCTTGCAGCCTTCTCAGTAGCTTGCACGCTTCCTTTCCGTTGTCTCCCGCAGGGTATTTTGATGCGAACGTAGCATGGCGTAGGCCAGTATCATCCAATTAAAATTGCTCCTGCCGCCAACTGCAGCCCTGAACAGGACATGAGCAGTGAAAAATCGATGGATGGATTAAACAAGCGAGAATATTTTATCTGCGAGCCAGATGCAGTCATCAAAAGAGCCACACCTGACTTGCGAGCCATAGGTTCCCGACCCCTGTTCCACAGTCTCATCTTCCTGAAGAATGTTTTTTTGACTTTTTTGTGACTGTTATCACATGGTCACAAGATGATTGTTTGGACTGTGTACAGAGGCGCAGGCAGATTTTCAAAATCGATTTTATTTCAGACTCGTGATCCACAAAAGTGTTTCGTCAGTCTTCAGGCCACTCTCCCGTTGTTGGTTGCTTTCAGTCATCCAGTTTACGGATTTGATTCTTTTTTTTTTTTTTTTTTGTGGTTTCAAGCAGCTGTTATTTGTGTGCGCAGCTTTTCTACAGGGTGACCGACGAGCACGCCAACAAGGGGGAGCTGCTGCTCGTGGGGATGATCTGCTACTCCAGCCGCCACTATTGTGCCTTCGCCTACCACACCAAGTCCTCCAAGTGGGTCTTCTTCGATGATGCCACCGTAAAAGAGGTGACTAAGGCACTCAGCCGTACAGCAAATTAACCTGAACTACATTCTATAATCGTATATTTTGCCCTTCTTGTGGAACGAAAACAAAATCAAACACTATCTAAATGGTCGCCCGCCGTTTTATATCCACTTGGAGTGGCGCTGCCAAGTCCGCACAATCCTAATTTGGACCGGTGCCAAATGGCCCGTTGCTACAGCGGAACCTCCATAGATGAACACGTTCGGAACACATTTTGCGACGCTGCTCTCCTTCCAAGTGGCTCTCATTTCAATGCAATCTGATGCTTTTTTGTCGTCCGGACTTCCATCGCGATACGTTGCAGTCTGGGCTGGTCCGAATGCTGACTTGCTGCCGTGTCCAAGAAACAAAAACAATTTTTGGGGATTTTGTCTCGAATCATTGCTGCATGGTCCCAAATGAGACGGTGGTGCGGCAGTAGGCTGGTTTCGAATCTCGGAAGAGCGCCGACATTTTTGTCCGCGTGTCTGTTCAGCTTGACGTTTAGAGCGAGGCTTTCTTCCTCGCGTTGCATTAGCTACATTTCTGTTTGTTCTTCCGTTGTTCCCGCTCTCCCTCATCCCTCCGCTGTGATCTTCATTGGCTTAATTAAGAGGCACACGGGCATCTGTTAGCCCACAGCTTTTGCCTTTGTGGCGTCTCCGCGGCGGCACCTGACCAAGCGGCGCTAATGTGATTGTTCCACGCGCTCGCCAATTGGACTGCGAGGTGCGGTTCACCCTCATTTTATTTCCAGTTACGGTTTGGCTTCTGTTCTAACATCTGCTGGTGCTCACAGGTTTCATTTTTAACGCGGCGATGAAAGGAGCCTTTGTGCTTTGTTTCAGTGTAAATGATCACGTCGTCCGTCCTTCCTCCTCTTGTTCTCGCTTCAGGTCGGCTCCAGGTGGAAAGATGTGGTCAGCAAATGTATTAAAGGTCACTTCCAGCCTCTTCTGCTGTTTTACGCCAACCCGAATGGCAGCGCCATTACGGCGGCGGATGCGTCCCAGCAGAATTTAAGCCAAACCCACTACAAGAACCTTGAGAATGGAGAAGGCAAGAATGGAGAAGGCAAGTCGCGCTCTACGAAATGGAATGGTGGATATGTTGACGTCGAGCTCCAAAAAAAAAACGATTTTTATTTTTTTTTGCATGCACATTAAGCAGCTCGTGCAATCAGTGAACTCGCTCGTGGATTATACACCCCAGGATTTGTGCGCTTGGGGAGGTATTATCCCCGTTTAAAGATCCTCCTCAAAACCCTCCACGCTGGCTCCAGCCCAGGTCCAAGCCGGGTGGCAGCCGGCCTGATGGCGGCGAGTGACGAAACGGACGCGTCATGGTCTCGCGTGTGTTTTCATCACTGCTCGTATCGTATATGAACGAAGTCTGTTTCGGTTTCCCGGCTTAGGTGTGACATCTCCGCTTCCGTCCCCCAAGAAACTGGAACTAACCAAAGAGAATCTGAACGCTCTGCTGGGTCTTCCACGCTCCTTAAATCAGAAGCCCTCTACCAGCTTTAGCCGCAACGGTGCCAGAACTAGTGGAGGACGTGGGCCAGGTACACAATAAGTACACAACACTAATTACAGTAACTGTACTGTATGTCCCGCATGAATTTGCATCGTTGGAAACTGCAGAGAGGCAATCACACATCAAAGGAACAACGTTAAATGAAGCAAAAGGAGAATCCTGTGTCATGTTTTCATTCACTTAAAGCACAGGTGTCTAACTCAAGGCCCGGGGGTCAGATCCGGCCCACCACATCATTTTATGTGGCCCGCGAAAGCAATGATCCTGGCTAAAATCTGTACCGAAATGTCAAATTGTCATGCGTAATAAATAACATTGAGATTTCGCAATCATTTTGTTACCCCGTTTACACTCACTTGAACAATCGAAGAAAATAGTCTCGTTGACTGATTTCAAAACGAGTAATCCATCAATTTGTTGTGTACAAGTAATAATACGATGAAATCATTTATTTGGTTTCACTGTCACAATGGTCCTCCGAAGAGATAACTCCAAAGAGGACCGTGACAAAAATGAGTTTGACACCCCCGACTTAAAGCAAAGGGCGAAAATGCACTGGAGAACAAAACAAACAAACAAACAACAGTTTCTGTGGGCAAAGTTGAGTAAAACTAATAACCTGGGGTGCACATCAAAATTTTGGTGTGGTTCTCAGATGAGCACTAGAGGTGGTTGCAAACTGGGGCCCGTGGTCCACATCCAGACCGCCAATGATCTTACTATTATCGTCAAAATATTATGTCAAGTATCCATTGCTTTTGTTTGGATGTGCATGTGTGGACAAGCGAACAAAAGCAAAGAATTGTCTTCAGCGTAGCCAGTTTCTAGATGTCGTCACTGTATTCAGGGAAAAGGAAAGAAGCGTGCCAACGCCAACTGTGGTCTTCAAGTTTGCAACAATCTTATTTCCTGCACAGTGGAGGGAAGAGAGGAATTTACCCTTGTAATGATTTGGCAGTCCTACAAACTACTTTCTGCGTGGTTTGTGCTCATAATGTCAGCACACTTTAAAAAATATTCGAGAAATAAAATAGGGCGCCTGTACATGTTCTTTGTGAATGCGAATGAAATAGTGAATTATCTTTTAATTTGAGTGAACATGCCATTGCTAGGCTACTTCACAAGTGGCTGCTTATTAAAACAATACCGTTTTCAGAAAAAAATACATTGATTTCAAAATGACCACAATTGTGTGGCCCTCGACTGCTGTTTCGCTTTCTCACATGGCCTTCAAAAAGTGAATTGCCCACTCTTGACTGGCCATAAGGGGACTTTGTGCTCCGCTGGCTAATTTTGCAGAATTCTGTTGGCCAGTGGCCAATCTTTTTTTTTTTTTTTTTTTTTTTGCACTATTGATCGCTTTTGCACAAAGACAAACATACCGGTAATTTTTTTTGACGGATGATCAAAGCCACAGGACGGAGATGACTCTCATCGGCGGCATCCCCCGCGAGTGTCCTTTTGCGGGGAGCCATCTGAGTCAAGCCAGCTGCCAGAACGATTGTTCATAAACTACTATCCAATGCGCCGCGAGGGTCAGCGTCAAAATAAAATCTCAACAATACTGTACGAGGATAGCAATGCCTTACGCATGATCTTGTCTTCCCACGCGATGGCTTCCGGTGCCCATTTTTACCAAGATGCCTTCCCTCCCGTCCTAACAATTGCCTATTTAAACCACAGAACACCTTCGATTCTGATGCAAGTGCGTGACTTGCTATTGTACGTTCTGTGTTGGACAGGGAACACTGGCGCCAGCGATACCAAGCGTCAACTCCAAGAGATTTTCAGGGAAGTTGCGCAGCAAGCCAGCGGAGAGGCGCATCCAGTCGGAAGAGACTCCGATCGAAGCGGTCAGCGTCGGGCGGAATCACGCTACAAAGGTCGGTGACGGACCCGCGTGGACGGCCTGTACATGTGATGCCGCGCATCGAACATGCGCGGCGTTGGGGGGAGGGGGGAGAGAATTCCGAGGCTTTTATGACACACGAGAGCGGCCCATGTCTCCCATTCAGCGGGCCTTATGTAAGCGCCGGTTAGGGAGCGACGTGTCAGAAAGGGGATTAACTGCTGACGTCCGTCTGAGCTTTTTTTCATCCCGCTCTCTCGCAGTTAGAATTCTCTGATTCCCCTCTTCACAAACGACAAACAAGACGCGCAGCACATATGTATTATTTTTGTCATATTTTGGTATTCTGGTGTATATCGCCGCATATTGCCTGGAAGGTGGGACTATAGAGTGTATTGAAGTTGAATTGTGCCGAGACAAAAAACAAGGAATTGGACTCCCACGAGCTATAATTAACCCTTTTTTTTTTTTGCCCTTCCTTTTTTTTCCTCGCCAACCTGCTGTGTTCTTTTGTCCGAACATCGAATGTGTAATCACTGGATATCCTCTCGCCTCCGCGCTGTGAACCTGGCGCACACTCTCTGCAAGCTATAAAAGCAGCCGATCTGGACTGCTGCGTCAACTTTGACAATAAAATGTGTCTTATTATTCCCGCGCAGATGCTGGTCAAGATCGCCTCCACTCACACTCCGTCTCCCCGCCAGAAAATGGTTTTAAGCACTACATGGACACTCGTTTGTACAGCAGCCAGGGAAAAGGTCCCACACGGATTGACCGCCAACCCCAGCTCAGCAGCAGGTCTTCTCACGTGCCTCGCTCCAGCTCGAGAGTTCAAGCGCTACCCACCGTGCCCACCGTGAGAAGTGCTCACAACAGTAGGAAACCGGAGACCAACGGCTATGACACCGATAGCAGCCAGGACTCTCGCGGGCGTCCTGGTAGCGCGGGGAACGGTCACAGCAGATCCACTCGGCCCTGGAAGCCCATGCGGGAACCGCTCAATGTGGACAGTGTCTCAAGCGCCACTGATGACCCGGCCGGCGCAGAGCGGCAGCAGATAAGTCCGCTGAGATGGCCTAGCGGCAAGTCGGTGACGCGGGAGCGAGAGTGGGAGGTGATGTCGGGAGGCCTCATGACCATTTACGAGGACGACCAGAGACACGAAAATGGCAGCAGCCGCAGCTCGCTGGAGTCGCTCGGCCGGGGCGCCTACGGCGACAAGGAGAGGTCGAAGGGCACGGCCACTCTCAAAGTCTACAATGACAACTGGAAGATCCAGCGAACGGAATCTGGTTACGAGAGCAGCGACAGAATTAGCAATAGCTCCGCAAATCTGGACTCGCCCGTCGTGGAGAACTTTCCTCCCAAAGAACTCCACTCAATAGGCGAGCTGCAGCTGACCCGGTAAATAATTGCATTAATTCCACTGTTGACCTGCGAACCACTTTCATGTCAAAACCAGAAGCGACGCAGAGCTGCATTGCTGCAGGTGCACACAAATAAGCATTTGTAGGAGCTGCACCTTAACTCATTCACTCCCAAAGACGTTTTTAAACGTCTTTTCAGACTTGGTCTAGAATTGGCTGGTACTGAATAAAGTGTTGCTCCACAAGTGAAAACACAAGCCATGCTTTGACGATCTTTGTTGGACATCAAGGGCGTTTCAATGATACCTGGAAACTGTTTTAGAAAAATTCCTAACATGTCTCGTGCATGCTGATTTCAACATGATACAATTAATTCTTTTCACTTTGTTCTTTTAGGGATATTTTCCCTCCAAAGGGAAGTGATGATGACATCATGCCAGCTCCCTTTTGTACCGGTAAGTCACGATCTCTCAAAAAATTACTCAAATAGTTCCAACGTAGTTTCCCAACAATCCGAAGAATCATTAAAATTTTTTTTTTGCCCTTTCTTATGCTAGAATGAGAAAATTGATTGGATTTATTGTCCTTCCTGTTATGAGGTACCTCACGGCCTGATGTGTTGCCTGAAGTGACTGTGACATTTTTCGAGCGGAAAACCAAATCTTCCTTTTAAACAGAGTTCAGGAAGAAAAGCAACTTTTGAGCTCACCGATGTAGAAACAGTCATTCCCTCTATGGGAACGCCGAGTTAATCTTGAGTAAGAGGCGGTTGGTGGTCATGATGATGATGATGAGTGAACTTGTAAGGGCCACCCAGCTGTGCTCAGCCGGCCAGAAAATGGCACGGCCGGGCCTGTCGGAAGGTGGTATTCAGACAGGAAGCCAACAAACTGCAGGCATGTTTATTGCCAGGTCACGGTGAGTTTCAAAAACAAAGCACAAAAACAACAGCGTTGCCTCTGCCAAGAATGTTTTCATCAGTGTAGGATGAGGGCAGAAAGTAATTTCCGTTTTTGTTTTTTTCCTCCAAAGCTGTTTACTGCTAGAGTTTTCCTTCGGCTTTGGTGGAGGTGGGCGCAACTGCTCCTAGTCTTGTTTTGTTTTGAATTCAAGGTGGACTTCAACACAAGTAGTCAGTCAAGAAGCTTGAACCAACCCTCTTGAAACTTGTTTAACTTGTTTGGGGAAAGTACCATTGCCTCAGCATAGCTACCTGTGCCAGAATAACGTATTCAAGTAGACTGCTCCCTTTTTCCCCCCGTCAGGATTTAAAAAAAAAAAAAAAAAAACCCAAAAAGAATTGACACACTGTAATCACGTCAGTTCACAGACTGCTGTGATGAGTGCACCGATGTGTCTTTGTGCCCTGTTATTGACCGCCGATCAATCCAGGGTATACGTTGCATCCTGGCCAACGTGAGCCCCGGATAGGCAGAAGCTCACATGCGACCTCACCGAGGATGTGCGCTATAGAAAATAGATGGATGGATTGTTCCATATGGATGGCCTCGTCGTCCACTTGCAAATAAACATCCCCCAGCCACTTTCCATTTGTGGAAAATTTCAAGTGAGTGTGTGGGGAGATATTTGTCTGCTACTCATGCACACTATAGCGGCAAGCTTGCATTTGAAGGTGGCCAAAAGTCAATTTGGCCGGCGTTCAATTTGTTGCCTGCCCACTGCATATTCCCATCCACGATCTTTGCAAAAAGGTGGTGCGAGACAAAACGGAGGCTCGGACATGGCGCGACGGACATCCGGTGTAAAAGGGCCACCTCCACCACGGAGAGGGGAGCGTGTGGACTCTCCATGCCGTTGCTAAATCATCCTTGGCCGCTCCAGCAACTCCTCATAGGAACGCACCGGAAAGGCCATTAGCGCTCCCGTTTGCACTTGACCGTGCGACCCCCCAGCCCTCGCGCGCGACACAAATATTGTCGGAATGAGTTTCAACCCACGGGCCGGCCGAATGGATTCCCTCCCCTCGCTGTTTGCATAAATTGTCTGTCCTTGAGTTAGCAAACCGAGGCCGGGCCTGAACTAGGGTTGTCACTCACCTGGGCGGACATTTTGACGTACAACTGTGGTTCTAGAAAAACCTGTGTTTTTATTATTAGTATTATTATTTTTTTATTTTAATGCCATTGTTAAGTCCCTAGCAAAGGGGTGTGTCGGCATCTCTTTATTTTGAGTAAGGATCACAGATCAACAGCCTCAAATTGTGAATTGCCTCATGGACTTGGCAGCTTAAAAACGCAATAGCGTTGTGTTTAGAGGGGTGGTGGGGCGGGGGGTGTTCTGACCCCAGTGTAATTGCATGCCAGCACAAAGGATTTAGCCTCTAATGCTTTGAGAGAGTGTGCTGACGCATCGCAGATGGCCACTCTCCCCTTCATTTCGTCCGTTTCGTCAGCTTCTCTTGCAGATCGCTCTCACCTTTTCCAACTTAGCTCCGTGATATCGTCACCGCCCGGTGAAATGATGACTTGGCAAAAACTGCGAGGGCGGGACTCTGCGTTGGCCGGTCTTGTTCCTCCGAATCAAATAATTCCAACTTTTGGCATTTGGATGCATCAGGCAGAGGATGGAAAATGGATGGAGTGGCAGGAGTGGAATTATTACCCCAAAAAAAACTAAAAAATGCATTACCTCTCCGTATAGTATTGTTTCCCCAGCTTTTTTTTTTAATTAATATTTTTAGAGATGGAATGAAGATTTTCTGTCAAATTCCTCTCAGATTTATTTTGTCTATCTGAAATTTGAGCCAGTTTAGTTAAACACAAAATGGTATGAATAGCATCAGATGGATGCACAGGTGACTTGTGTCCTCCGCCATGCAGTAAATAAACATTAAATTGTCTGCCTCTGACTATCGGCTGCTGTCTTAGATCGTTGAACAAAGCTGCATTCATTTAATTTTCAGACCAAGAAAGTAAAATCATATCGCGTGATACATGATGACCTCTCTTTGCAAACTGAATGCAGCGCCAGTAGCGTGGAGTCACTCGTCGGGTACACAGGGTTAAAATTTGGTAGCTACCAGACCTTAAAATGCTTGCTTCAAATTAAAATACACACTTCAAATTACTTTGCCGGGGTGCCAAGGTGAAAGGGTTTAAGCCAACCCCTGATGTATTCATAAATTGATTAAGTGTTACATGTATGAGCCTCCGAATCTCTTTTCATTGCTCCAACTTGTAAATCTGCTGGAATTCTTTATTAGCTCCAAACTAGCGAGGTCTGGGTGAGGCGCCAGATACCCTCGGAGGGTCGGCGATCGCTGGCTAGACCAGACATCCTCAGTGCCCCTACCCCCCCATCCCCCCCCTCCCCTTTTTCACTCCTCCCCAAGGCTGCAGTGCCAGACAAGCCGCTCTGATACTTCCCGCTCCCGGCTGAGAGCCTCATGGTGACCTGTTAGATAACACGTCGAAAACATCATCACATAGTCCCTTTCCAAAGTTAAAGCTGCGACAGATGTCTGCTTGCTTTATTTCGGACCGTTTGGTGCTGGAATTAACATCGGGGATATTTTTTTTTTTTTTTTCTTGCCAAGGTGAACAAGAGAAAAAGTCTCCAGACCTGTGTGACTCGCACAAACCCTTACAGAGGTAAATTCATTTTGATGTATTCATATAATCTGCACAGGTGTCAACTGTATGCTTATTTTATATTTTATTTTTAATAGAAAAAGAGCCTTCCGATACACTCCCGGAGTCTTGGAAAACAACGACCTGGACAGCGAAAAAGAAGAAAACATTGATAGTCCAGTCAGCCCGATTCCGCCTTACTCGACAAAGACAAGCAGTTCTGAATGGATCAGTTCAGACGACCTCGCCGGACCTTTCTCTGAACACGAGGCGAACCGCATTGATGCCTTTCCGCACAACTCCCCCCCTCCGCTACCCCCGAAACACTTTGGCGGTCATCACACCGATTCGTCGGAACCTCCAGAAATACCGCCCCGTCGACCCAAAAGCACCACGCCGGCGCTCTCGCGCAACACCCTGATCCGCTGGATCGAGACGCCGGCCGAGCGCAGGCTCTCGTCCGACACCAGCTCCAACAAATCCTCGGACCAGGAACGCAACGACCTGTCGGCCAGCGAGAGCGAAGACAAACTCCCTGGCCGAGATGGCGCCGACTCCCCCGATGTGGTTCTGCCCACAACTTATTTCTCTGTGGATAACTGCATGACGGACACCTATCGGGCCAAATACCACAAGAGGCCCGCCTTGTACATGAGAGCAGAGGAGCACACGTCTTCGGGGGAGAGTGACGTGGACGCCAGGGGACTTCCCGTTGCAAATGCTGAGCCATCAGATCTCCGTGCCGACCGACCGCAACCAGGTACCTCAAAACGTGGATTTCGGGTTCACCTGAACATTGGCCTTGACTCCTTACTTTGTTTTGCAGGCTATTCAGCATCCACCAAGTCCATTGCAAAGTGGAACCCGGTGACCCCGAAAGGACTGGATGAGCACGGATTCCTGTAGAGAGGGCTAAGGCAACAACACGCCTGTGACAAGATTAAAAAAAAAAAAAAATCACTATGCATTATGACTGTTGTCCTGTTTGAATGTCTTGAGCAGGAATCTGGCAGCCAATCAGATTGCTCTTCGGAACGAGATTGAACAAATATTGAATTTGCACAACCAGAAAGGTACAGAAAAAGGACCTCTCCTGTTTTCAGGTTATCAAGTCAAGACTGTACCAACTACTGAGCAAGTTTGTACTCTCCTGGTACATTAATGGATCCTAAGGATCCGTATAAATGGGTACACCCACAAAGGTATGTGCGTACTGTAACACTTGAGAGCAGGGTTTCCCTAACTTAGGGGCAGAAGGCAAAACGGGCCGAGGTGAAATCCGGTGCAAATGTCTTCCTCCTCTCTCTTTTGTGTTAATAATAGGCCGGGCAGCCTGACCCTCTTTAGGTGATGGGTAATTCATACTTATTTGCAGCAAGTATGTGGCACAAACAAAGTCTTAGCACTGGATGACACTCGTAACTCCGCAAAGATCCTTTTTTGGAAGCATTTTGTTTTAGGGCTGGTGTTGTCATAATAAAATGCTCTAAATATATGTCGTATTTGTTAATGGTTGACTGTTTCATAAGTGACACAGTGCCTTTTTGTGTGTATATATATACTGTATATCCATATTTTTTTTAGTGCCAAAGCAAGGTTTGAATCAGCTATAATTTGTAATTTTGGGGAGGGGGGATTCCCAAGATTTTATTTTCATTTCTATTGATCACCACTTGTTGAGTAAAATAAACTGTTTTGATTAACCTTGCCTATATTTTGTTGTCATCTGCTGCTTTTTTAAGTACATAAAAGATAATACAAAAAAAAATGTCACTCGCCTACTTGTGTTCACAGTGTTTTGCTGCCATCTGCTGTTACATTCATACATTACACCCAAACGGTACGGTAATGTTTCTTTAGCGTTAACATGACACACACACGTCACAGATTTTCATTGGTTTATAAATGGTTGATTATCGTTCTTTTATAGCTTTTATACATGTTAACCCAAAGTGAGTGACACGACACATCCTCGTTAGAAAAAAAAGTGAACAACAACAAGCACATAAAATTGTATTTGACTTGGAACACAGCGTTACAATCAGGAAGGGGATTTACAAATTGCGTGCATGCTATCCCTTTCGTTTGATCATGAATCATTGCATCCACTTGGTCATATAAAGCATGAAAAGGAGGCTTCATGAAAATGAAGTTGTTGATGTTGCGCTTGATGACCAAGGTGATTTTCCCTGCTGAAGATGAGCGATGGGAGTCTCCGGGACCACCGCCAAGCGTTCAAAGCAGATTGTCAATAGGTACTCAATCATGTGAAAACTTATGTTATTGACTTTAAATAACTAGCGCTTGGGTGAGTGTTCTGCTGTATATACTCTGTCGGTAGGGGACCTCAATTCTAAGTGATGCTGTTTTTTTTTTTTGGATGCAACTCAAATATTTATGATTCAATATTTAGCAGTTTACCATAAAATCCCGTGATTAAAAACAGTCTAAAGCCTTTAGGACTGGAGTCATATGTTCTGATCTCATTGTTGTGGTCATAACATGAGCTCCAGCGTTGTGAATGAGCTGCAGCTGTTTGATGCTCTTTTGAGGTAGTCTGGTAAGAAGACCATTACAATAATCAAGTCTACTGGAGATAAAAGCATGGATAAGTTTCTCCTGGTCTCTCCTGGAGCGGGCAATCCTTCCTAGATATTGATATGTAGACCTTTATCAGTACCTCAAAAGGTGTACTTGGATTCCAGCATGATGTAATGTCTTTTGCGGACAAAAGATGGTGACATTACACTTTCGATTGTTGTGCTTGAGCTGAGATGAGCTTTCTTTATCCAAGGCATTGCAGTACTCCGGATCAATTTAATTATTATGATTAATAATAATAATAATAATATTTTTATCAGGAGCACAGTGACCCCAAACATGAAATTTTAGGGGCACACGTTGTAAATTGACTTTAAAAGTAAATATTCATCCCACTGATTTTCACTGAATTACGGATACATTGTCTGAAGTGTGAGGGCAGAAGGTGGTCCACAACAAAACATATTCCAAAATAGTAATTATCAGAGAAGGGTTGACTCGAGTCGTATGACATGACTCGAATCAGACTCAAGTTGCTGTTTTTAGGACCTGTCACTTGTTTGCCAAAAACTTTAAAGACTTCACTTGACTTGACACATTCCAATCCGCGTCACTTGTTGGCGTTGGCGGCGAGCTAAACATCAACAGCGATGGGAGCAACTCTCACGATCATTAATTTGAATACATTGATTATCTTGTCGATGATGGTGGTAAAATAAAATGGCAAACCACGTTGTTTGCACCTCATGGAAACAAGACACAAGACTGGCAACGTTGAATTTAATTCATTGCAAAACCCTCTACAAGTCAGGTAAGCTAACGTTACTGTTTTGCTAGCGATACAAACTCTGTTTTCGGGAACAGTAAAAACATGTGATAGTTAACATTCAATTCGAGTACAGCGAAATGGACGTAACTAGAGGTGCAACTTAATTCATTACAAAACTCTCTAAAAGTCAGGTAAGCTAACTGCTGTTTTGCTAGCGATACAAACTATGGTTCCGGAACAATAAAAACATGTGATAGTGAACATTCAAGTACAGTGAAATGACGTAACAAGAGGTGGGAGTGTTTCTGATAATTGTTCAAACTGTTTTTTTTTCCACAGTTGCGTTTCTGTTTTGCAAAGGCATGCGAATCCTTCCCATCTCCGTTGAATAACAAAGTGAAGCGATGTGCACTTTGCAAGTAGCTCAACCACTGAACGCAAAAGAAGCGAAGCGGCATGTTACAATCACCTGTGGAGAGAAAAAAAAAGTGTGGAGAAATTGTTGTCTCCAAGGACCATCGTTTTGATGAAACCAGCCAAAAAGACAAAACACAAATTATTTTTAATATAGGAAGGAGTATGAATCTGCCTTTTAAAACGTTTGAGTCCGACATTCATGTTTCGAATTAGACTATCACGACAAATTGTAATTGCACACGTACATTTTAAAGGTTAAACTGAATGAATTTGACTCGCACAATCACCGGCGGCTGAAAGAGATCTGGTTGGTATTCTACATTAAATACAGACTAGATGTGTTGACTACAGTTTGTTGTCAAATGCGATATTTGTCCTGTTGTTCACGTCTGGTGTTTTGATATTGCTGTTGACAAAGTACAATGAATCTTCTTTGACCCTCTCAGAGCAACGGAGCAACCGAGCGAGTGCGTTCGTCACATTAATTCATTTTGGATCCCGACGATATGAGCTGTGATTGCCGGTTGTCAAAGGCGGCGGCGGCGGCGGCGGCGGCTCGCGCGGGGGTGGGGTGCCGCCATATACTAAGCAATTGGACGAGCGCGGCGCCTTCCCATTATCTTGTCCCTTGCATTGTAATTATCACCGGTGCTCTTTCTGCGCCGCCGCTCCCGTCTCTCCCCCGCCATTGTAATCGTGATTGATTGGCGCGGCGGCCAAAACAGCGATGTTTTGAAAAGACATCTCATAACCGTCCTGCCATTTTGATCCCCTTCGCCACCTCCGCTGCCATCATCCCTCTCACTTCTTCAGCTCGAAGGGTTTCAACGTCACCCTCAGAGTTGTCCTCATTCCATGTAATGACAGTTCACGCTTGAATTGACACAGCATTCCTAATTTCACATGAAGCTATCACACACAGGATGATGTCAAACAATTAAGTTGTTTAATTGAGTGTGCTCTGTGACACGTTTTTTTTTAGCTTATTCAACTTTACCTCTTATCATAGTGGCGTCACTTGGATTGCCATGATGAGCTGTGCTGGTTTTTGTTGCCATTAAATGTAATACGGTGATACCCGACCTTGGAAAGTGCAAATTTACAAGCTTAGTGAGGTGAAAAAATGTGCACTTCATGCCCTCACATGTGGGCAAGCAGAGCTTCAGCCGCTATTAATTAAACGGGTTATAACAGTCAAACATAGAAATACGGAAAGTTGCAAAGAGCTCTTTGTAAGCCATGACTCAGGTCTAGATGCTCACATGCAAAGTATCCGGCCGATCGGACTCCTGCCCCTCATGTCACTCACTAGGCACCGCCCCTTAAAGTTACACATTCAACACACAACTGCTCATACTAATTAATATTAATTTAATATTGAGTTAAAATGAATCATAAGTCAGTGTAATGTCGATTTTCCAATCGTAATAATAATAATGCAAAAACATTACAAAACTGATTGACCTTTCAAATAAGCGACATGGAGTGTAGGAGGTTGTAATGAGACAAAGAGCTGCTCTGCTGTTGCCATGGCAACACAAGATCACCCATGTTAATGGTCTATAATAAAAGGCGGTAGCATCACGGCTGACCATGTTGCTTCAAATGCACTTCCAGGACCTTTTTGTTTTGAGATTAGTGGTTTAGCATGTGACAGAGCAAATGGAGTGGAGTTTTTTTTTTTTGCCCTCTGCTTCAATTCTGCTTGTATTTGTGTGTGTATGCGATAATTAGTCAACTCACCAGGTCAATATAAGCACTGTCAGACTTGTTTGTATTCGCTGCAGGGAAGACCACATTTATACACATTTGGGCCTTGCACTTTTTTTTTGGGGGGGGGGGATGCAGTGCGCAGTGCTGCCCTGTGACAGCTTTGAGTGACACACCTTGTCACATCGGGAAGTTCATCAGCAACCACTGAGAGCCCCATCGATTGGGCTGCCCTGAGCCCTGCCAGATAATGGATTGGATTAATCCCTGGCTGGATGGGAATTGTGCTTTATACACGCGCATGCACACACACAGGCACATATTGTTGGTGCATGCAAAAAATAAATAAATAAATTTAAAAATAAATAAATAAAAATTACAAATTAAAAAGTGTTGCTTTTTGCACAGTGCCCAAAGGGCATGCAAGAATCCGTAAGACGCTCCATTGATTGATTTTCATCAGGCATCTCTGCCTGTGCTTACCTTAGCCATGCAAGTGCCCATTTTGAGACTAGTATGCGGAAGACTCACAGGCACTCGGGTGTTCCTCCTGCTTTCGTTTTTATTTTGTTTTATTTTTTTTACAACTGGATCTAAAGCCAATCATCCTCAGTGAATCGTTTGAAGCATCATTTGACGACTTCCAGTCTCGTTACAATGACAAGGGTAAACAGATTGAAAGATGCAATGTGGTCTATTAAGGCAGCGTGCCGCTCGCTTCGCCCCGTTTTTCTTAAAGAGGCAATGCATCAGCGAGGTGTCCAAGCAGAGATGAGCACAGCTGAAGAGCCAACTCATCAGACTCATTTTGTTGCCAGCGGGGTTTACCTCAAATAGTTATAATCTATGAACTGTAATGTGATTCGCCAAGCACTTAGTGGCAATTCATCTTCCCTTGTGCCTCCCAGGCAATGTTTTGTGTGTGTCTGTGCGCATTTGTTCATCCATAGTTACTAAAAATGAAAAGGAAACTTTGTTATTGATGAGCAATGTGCAGAGAAGCTCAAGCATTTTTATGTTCACCACTGGTTAAAATATAATGATAAAGTTGGATTGTTTGATTACAACCCAAATTAAAGCTCTTCACATTATTGATAGAGCACTTCAAAAACAAGCAAAGCTGCAGAAAAAAAGCCATGTGAAATCAAACAGTTGAAAACAATAAATGAACAGAAGAAAAACATAAGCACAATAAAACACTAAAACAAAATCAAGTCTCATGCTGAGTCATAAGGCAAAGAATAAAAATGTTTTAAAATGAGTTTTGAAGATGGACA